CATTCAGTCTCTGTCTTTTAATTCATATATTTAGACCATTAACATTTACAGTGATTATCAACATTTGTGGGTTGATACCTATCACATTTCTGACTGTCTTCCTTTGTCACCCTTGTTCTGTTTCTTTTTTTTTAAACTCCTTTTCTGCATTCTGTGGTTTTAGTTGAGCAATGTATAAGATTTTGTTTTATCTTCTCTCTTGGAATCAAACTTCTTTTAATGATTTATAGTAGTTGGGGCACCTGGGTGGCTCGGTTGGCTAAGGGTCCAACTCTTGATCTCGGCTTGGGTCATGACCTCACAGTTTGTAAGTTCAAGCCCCCCATCAGGCTCTGTGCTTATGGTGCAGAGCCTGCTTGGGATTCTGTCTCTCTTTCTCTTTGCCCCTCCCTTGCTTGTGCTCCCTCTCAAGATAAAAATAAATAAACTTTAAAAAATTAAAATAATTTGTAATAGTTGCCCTTGAATTTGTAGTGTACCTCTACCACTGGCCCAAGTCCGTGTGCAAGGACTGGCATCCCCAGGTCTGCTTCTGCTGATTTTAACTTCTTTAGTGTTGGGAGATGTTATGGGTTGAACTACGTTCTTGCAGAATTCAAATATTGAAGTCCTCACTCCCAGGACCTCAGAATGGGACCTTACTTATAAATGGAGTCTTTACAGAGGTAATCAAGTTAAAGTCACGGGCCCTAATCCCGTGGGACTGTGTCCACATAGAAGAGGAAATGTGGGCAGAAACGTGTGGGGAGAGAAGGCAATATGGCGACACCGGGGAAGATGGCCAGTGACAAGACAGGGAGCAAGGCCCGGAGCAGATCCTCCCTCATAGTCCTCTGAAGGGAATCTTGCCCCCTAACACCTTGCTTGGGGACTCCTGTCCTCCAGAAGTGGGAGATGACGGATTTACCTTGTTTGAGCCTCCCAAGGTGGGTATTGTGTGACAGCCGCCCCAGGAAGCCGATAGAGAAGAGAAGAGACGTGGTGACCAACAGAAAGAGGGACAGGGACAGAGGCCAGCACAGGGTGCTGTGTGCGCATGTGTAAGTGTGAGTGTGCATGTGTGTTTGTGCGAGGATGCATGTAAGCATGAGTGTGTGTGTGTGCACACACGTGTTCGGAGGATCGTCTTATTCCCGGCTGCAGGGTTGAGCTCAGAGACATTTCGGTGAACCTGTGGACCCCCAACACCTACCCCAGCGCCCAGTAAGGTTGATTCCTTGTCACCTCTTGTTGCAATGCCACCGCTGTCACGCACAGCTATTGGAGAAACGCCAGCCACAGGTGCAAGGGTAGCACTGGGACCCAGGCCCAGGCCCTGGTGCTAAATGGAACTCAGTTGCTCTTAACGTCATCACTCCTGGGCTCCTTCACTTAACTGGCTCCTAGAAAAGCATAGAGTATCTGGCTTTCTGTGATCTCTACGTTCCTAGTGGTTGACGTTTAAGAGCTGCTTGTGAATGAATGGTTGGGGGAGGGGTGAATATGAAAACGACTGAATAAAAGTTAACTAAACTGTTGGGGCTCCCCTTGGAGGGTCTTATGGGGTTCGTACATTGTTTGGGGAAGCAGAAGCCTAGGCTCGTGTAAATTTGATCAAAAATACGAGTCTGATTGCTCAGGGTCTGAGAGCTCTGGCCAAGGTGCTGTGTCCGTGAGATGATGCACTCACTCCATCCCCAGGGCGGAAAGGCTAAGAACACCTGTACCACTGATGACAATGCCTAGGATGGATGGGGCAGATGAGGGTGACAGTGTTGAGAGCCCATCCAGCCCCTCGTCTGAGGCGGGGGTGGCTCTGGGCTCCAAGCCCTGGAGGCCTTGACCACCCCCAAGCCCACGGTCAGGACAGATCAGAGGCCACTGCTGAGTCCAAAGAAGCTCCTCCAGTTTGAACATAGGGCTTTAACCTCTCCAAGCCTCCGTTCCCACATCTGTAAAATGAACGTAACGAAACCGACCTCCCGGAATCCCAGGGAGATGATGCCAATGCTATTGTATTTCACAATTGTTAATTACACATTTGTGCTGTGATGAAAAATAACCTCTTTGTTAGCCAGTTTGATGGAGTTTACGAGCAAATGGCAAAGGTGTTTCTCATGGGCTTTACGTGGAGATGGGCCACAGCTGATGCACAACCTTCTTGCTCCAGACCTCATGTTCTTTGTACCGTTTGTTGCCCCCAGCATCCCCAGGACACGTCATTTGCCAGCCAATCTGGGCCATGGGCTTCCGTGAATCATCATTTCCAGCCCCATGCCATGCAAACACACATGTGTGTTGAGCCCTGGCTGGAGAGTATGAAACCATAGATATGGAAACTGTTGGTGGGGGTCAGATTTGGCAATCCTGGGCTATCTTGCCACTGAACATGACTTGGGGAGGCAAGGAGGGGACAGTTACTCATAGCACATGGACAAAGGCGATGTCCATTCCAGTTGTGAAGGTGTCATCACCAGCTATGACAAAAATCATATTTCCCTGAATGTCAGATTTCAAGTAGAATCACATGTTCAAACCCTGCCCAGGCGTTTCAAAAGAATTACACAATAAGGGGTTTCCCCCTTCACTGCATTGAGCCTCACCCTTTTGTGCAGCTTTTTCAGAAAAGACAGATTAACATCTGGCCCCGATTATGGGATTCACGCATCTGCTCAAACTAAACTAGCCGTGACCAGCTGCTGCGTGTATGAGGACTGTGTGTCCTTTGGGTAGAAGGCTCGTGGATAATTTTAAAATTCAAGGGCTGTGCACTGTGTTCAAAACAGAACAGAAGGAGGAACTGGAAGCTTGGGGGAGCCCCTGGGTAGGATTTATAATGATTTAAACAAAACGCAGCGTGGTTATCATGGCAAGAAAACAGCATCTGGAAACGGAAGGCCTAAGTCTGAGTCCTGATTGAATTAAATGCCAGCTTTCTTGCCAAACTCTGCAGCCTGGGTTTCTTCTTATGAAAACAGAGACATGATGGTCAGGAGCTGTATTTTCTTCACAGACCCCTTTGCTCATGACTTATTATTATTTTTTTCAACGTTTTTTATTTATTTTTGGGACAGAGAGAGACAGAGCATGAACGGGGGAGGGGCAGAGACAGAGGGAGACACAGAATCGGAAACAGGCTCCAGGCTCTGAGCCATCAGCCCAGAGCCCGACGCAGGGCTCGAACTCACGGACCACGAGATCGTGACCTGGCTGAAGTCGGACGCTTAACCGACTGCGCCACCCAGGCGCCCCATCCCTTTGCTCATGACTTAAATGGAGACCCTCAGGTCACTAACTTCCCACAATCTTAAACAAATGATGGATTCATCCACCCATGACCGCCCCGTGACTCCACTTTATGGAGGGGAAACTGAGGCACTGTGCAATGAAGTCACATGCCCAAGGTCATGCAGCAGTGCATGAACAGTTGGGTGAGAACCATAACCCAAGGGCAGGCCACAGCATGACAAACTCTACCGTCAACTTGATGTTTCCAAAGAGGTGATGAGAGAGGTTACTGCCCTCCCCACCCACCCTGTTCCGTCTCCACCTGCTCTGGCCCCCACATTCTGTACCTCACTACCTCACCCACCCAATGGAGCAGCCCCTTCAGGCTCTGAATCATTATCGCTTTGAGTGTCCACCATTTGCAGATCTGAGGACCTCTGAGGCCTCTGCATGGGGAACAACCAGGACATGGGGTGGGCTGAGTTGTTTGCCTTTCATGACTTCAGTTTTGACTATGTTAAAAATAAACTTTTAAAATGTAAAATACACTACATCCAAAAAAGATTTAGAGAAGAACTTGGGTGGCTTGGCCAGTTAAGTGTTCGACTCTTGGTCTCAGCTTGGGTCATGATCTCGTGGTTTGTGGGTTTGAGCCCCACACTGGGCTCTGCCCTGATGGCGTGGAGCCTGGTTGGGATTCTGTCTCTCCTCTCTGCTCCTCCCCTGCTTGTTCTCTCTCTCTCTCTCTCTCTCAAGCAAAAAAACTTAAAAAAAAAGAGAGAATTGGAGTGACATATGGAAAAGGACAAAGAGTGAAGGACGGTAGGAGAAGGACTTTGAGAATATCCATTTCACCTTATTTCCTTATCAGGTAGAACATTAGATAATCCTTTTTGTTTTACATAAAACTGCTCATCTTAACTGGCTATGAAAGGGTAAGATTGGAAGGATGGACCCTGGATCTGGAAGGAGAAAGGAAAATTCTCTTCACCTGATTCCTGGCCACCTTCTGGTCCCTGTTCCACTCCGTTCTGGGTGAGCTGCTCTGCTTTCCAGAACATTTCTCAAAGTGAGGTCCACAGATATCTGTGGGGCTCTGACACCCTTTCAGATACTTTGCAAAGGCAAAGGTGTGTAAAATTGCTGGGGCCTTAGCATTAACTGTCCCAGCCATCACTGCATTCTTCACCACCATGTACTGGTAGGGAAAAAAAAAAATACCAGTTCCATTTAAAAATGTCCTTGATAAAGGAGTAAAAAGTAATTTTATTAATGAGTGAATACACGTTTTTAACTTCTGGGTAACAGTACACACGAAGAACTGCTGCATGCTAAGGTAGATTGGTTGTCCCGGGAAATGCATCATGCATTTGTATGAGTTGCAAGCTAAACTAACCACTTTATCCATGGACGCCATTTTTACCTGCAAGAACAACTGACAAGTTATGTTTATTCAGACTTGGGTATCTGACGGGTATTTCCTCACAAGCAAATGAAATGAGTCTGTCATTTCGAAGAAACTTAAGACTATTTGTTGCCAATGATAAAAATTGAACTTTCAAGTGAAAATCTGAATTTCTGAAAATTTACATTGCCACTGTGAGCTTGATAGATGCTCAGTACTTTCCTGGTGAAATTGGTGATGGTGGTAATTAATGTGATTGTTTGATATTAGACATTGAAATGTGTCAACATTTTGAAGCAATATTTTCCAAATGACTAATGTGTGATATTACAAAATCACTCCTGGGTAAATGATCCACTCAAAGTGCAAGACAGACCAATGGAATTTACTGTAATCACAGGAAAGTTTATTGGTATGGTTTCATATTCCAACTGCAGTGAACCTTTAAATAACTTTCATTTGCCAGGTTAGGTTTAGTATAAAATACACACAATTATCCCAAACATCTCCCAAATACTCCTCTGTTCCAATTATGTATCTGTGTGAGACTTGATTTCCTCCAAAATATATTGCAAGAGACAAAATGCAGAAGAAAATATAAGAACCCAGCTCTCTTTTCAACCAGACATCAGAGAAATTTGGAAACATGTAAAACAATGCTCCCTTTGTTTTTTTGGAAAAGTTATTTTTCATAACAATGTTACTTTAAAAAGGAATTGCATTGCAAAATTTGTTCTAATTATTAATATGGTGAACACCGATGCCAGTGGTGTTTTGGTAAATGTTTAACAACCAGCTCCCTGAGGGGCCTTGAAGGGAGCCCTGATTTATAGTGTCCGCTGATTTCCGTGGTATAAATGCTCTCATCACGACCACTTTCAAGGTGCCAATATGTTATTGATGCAAAGTTGGGAAGGGACCTGCTCTCCCTCTAGCCTGTGGTGAGAGGGATCCAGCACATCACTGATTATAACCCACCTCTTTGTTGGCATCCTAACTTGTGTTTTTAGCTTATTGAGAGAGAGAGAGAGAGAGAGAGAGAGAGAGAGAGAGAATACCAAGTAGGCTCTGTGCTGTCAGCACGCTGGGTTCGATCTCACAAACCCATGAGATCATGACCTGAGCCACAATCAAGAGTGAGATACTTAACAGACTGAGCCACCCAGGTGCCGTATCCTAATTCTGAAGTGTGTTTGAGAACAGGTGTCCCAGGATCATCACCCTGACCTCAGTCAGCTCAGCAATGTCAGGCACCCTGGAGAAAGTTTTTGAGACTGAAGTTCTTATGTTCCTCACATCAACATCCTACCATCCCCTGTGTTCCCTCTGCCGACCCCTTGGCAAAGACAAGACACCTGTGTCTTTCCATTCTAACCCCTTCTTAAAAGATTTTTTTTTTTTTTTTTTTTTTTTTTTGCTTTAAGCAAACACTTTCTCGGGATTCCGTCAGGAAGAGCTCACAGGTGGCTGAGATTTGGTCATGATTTACTAGGTGACCTGTGTGTAAAATCGGTTAAATGGACTTGTGACTCTCAACAGACGGAAAGCTGCTGAGAGGACAATGGATCAGAGCTCAATATCATACCACCTCCCCTCATCCCCTGTCGGGGTGGGAAGAATGAGGACCCTTACCAGGAGGCGTATATATAAACAAAATACTTTATTATTTGCAAGAGAAAAGGCCAGATTACAAAATCTTTATACTTCAGTTCTGTGCATGACCACACCAAAGGTTTATGATGGACTTTGGTTTCTGTAACTTAGGTTGAACCACATGACACTGCCAACTTTGTAAGTTTCTAAAAAAGTCCAATATTGGCAATTTCATGTGGTTCAACCCCATTTAAAATGAGCCAAGGGCTAAGATCCCCTTTGGCAGAAAGACATTCCCGGTCACATGTCTGTTGATGTTATAAACAGATGTCTGAGTGATAAACATGTCCCGCTTGAGAAAAACATCCTGTGCTTAAAGACACTGGAAACGGTCTCGGGTAGGTACTTAGAGTCCCCAGCTCTGGTGTTGCTGTTCCCAGCTGCCCCCCGCACCCAGTTTCGTGGTCTCAATACATAGATGGACTCCTCTCCGGGGACGTCAGCCACTCCTCTGAGTGGCCTCTCACATCTCGAGTGAAGTCGGTGAGGCTCCGAAACCAGGTCGACTCGATCATTTTCAAGCATCCTGACTGCTCGCGGACCCAGGCGCTCCTTTGAAACAACCACGGGAGTCTCCCGTCGGGCGCACAACATTTCTGCAAGTCGACCCCTCCAAAGGATTCTCTCTCCCGTTTTCTGTGCCCTCTCTTTGCCTCTGGGCATTCAGCTTCCACGAAAATAGGAACAAAGACCCGTGCCGCTGCGGGCACTGAGCAGAAAGGAACAGCATCGTGCGTGTCCAGACAGCCCACGACCCGACAGGTGAGCCAGGCCAGGGAAAAAATTCGAGTTTCGTTCATGACCAACAGACTTCGTGAAGGTCCCCCTCCCCTCCCCTCACCGGCCCCAACCTTCAGCTCTGTACAATACGTTTAACTTTACATGGAGTGCAGATAAAAATAAAGCTTTCTTACAAATTGCATTTTTTCCAGTGAGTTACTTCTGCAGTAAAAATAGCTGCTACATAAATCCTTCCTGATCTCTGAAAAGGAGCCACATATTTCCAAAAATAGCATTCTTATTTTAATCATACAGAATAATTTGGGGCGCGGAGGTGGACCATGGGAAGGGAATGGCTGGTCAGGGGACGTTAGTCGTCGGGGAAACCCGGTCGAACTAAAAAATAAAAGAAGGTTTGCGTATCAACTGGTTTAAAGGCATGCACAGGAATGGAAAACATATGCCATTCGTCAAGAAAAATACTGCTCTATAGCTTTTACGTTACAATTAAGGAGAAAGCGGAGGCTACATGTGCCTCCAGATAATAACATTAAGTGTTTTTATAAAAATTCCCAAATGTACAAAGTCCTTGCCGGATGATAATCCGGGCAAAACAAAACAAAAACAAGGGACTGACCCTCTCAGAACTTACACCTGTAGGCATATTGAATGTAAATAACACACGGCTTTACAACTTCTGCGTCTGGCCGGGCAGACGTGACGTTTGCAGAATGCCACACGGGCTCTGCGTTCCTGCTCCACGTACGCTTACGGAATTATTTTAACTTACAATGTACAGTTTTTGTTAAATAGGACCATTAGAGGATTCAGACAGCAACGAGGAGACTACAGTCATATATACAAACCTGACTCCTGAAACGGCACCACAGTCTCCCTGCACCGCCCCTCCGCCTCTCTGAACCGAACAGAACACCCCTGCCTTTGTGATTCCCGGCTGCCAGAGGCGGAAAGAAACTTACGAGAAACAAACAAACAAAAACAAAAAAACCCCAAAATGCGCGTGACCCAGACAGGCTCGCTCCTTTGAGACTCTCCGAGAGCCCGGACGTTCCGGTCACACAGCCTGCTCGGGGATGGGGGGCGGCCAGGGCGGCTTCCCAGTGCTTCTTTCTCGGTCGTTCTAACGTTAAGAGCGTCATCAGCAGCGTGTTCCAAGTCGGCAGGCTCTCCGAGCGAGAAACCGTGCTTCCTGGTGGCGGAAAACCCGCGGTTTCGGAGGGAACAAGGCCACTGCTCCGCGGCGACTCTCCGGGACGCGATCAACGCCGCCTGTCAGGGTCCTCGGGGTGGGGGGTGGGGGGGCCCACGCGGGCGGGGCCGGCTCCGGTCGGGGCCCCGCGGGCCTCAGTCCTCCGTGTCGGGCTGGACGCCCAGGATGGCGTGCAGTTCCTCGGGGGTGAACCCCAGCAGGTGCTGCAGGTCGCACACGAAGCGGTACACGTAGCGCTTGCCCGATGTCTTGTGGATGATGTTCTTGTCGTAGTAGTAGCGCAAACCGCGGCTCAGCTTCTCGTAGTTCATCTTGGGCTTGTTTTTCCTCTTCCCCCACCGGCGGGCCACCTGCGGCGGACACGGAGGGAGAGACTTCAACTGGGCAGGTAAAGAAAAAGCGGGGGGACCTACTCCCCCGATGAGGGTGGTCGTGCCCGCTTACCCGGAGAGAACCGGGCCGGCCCTCACGAGCCCTGGGGGTGTGTGCTCTGTTTCAGGGCACCTGCCGGGGCACCGTGTCTCTGAGGACGGAGGGAGGGGCCCCCACCCGCCGCGCCGCCTCCTGTGGCCTGAAGCGATGGTTCACGGTCAGGCGGCTCCAACGCAAGGGAAACGCTGTCCCCCCCCCCCCCCCCCCCGGGCTCCTATTCCAGGCACCCCAGCCAACAGCTGCCGGGTGTGGTCCTGAGCCACGGGACGGTATGCATTCCTCGGTGCTTCTTTGCACCTTCCTGCTGCCAGAGATCACGGGCCTCTCTAAGGCCTGCAGGGGAGGGTCTCGGATCTGCCCCCGGCCTCCTCCTGCAGAGGGGAAGCCCCGAGGACCAGCACGGGGCTGCGGGGGGAAAAGGCAAACTCCCCACGGCATTTGCGAGTGGTCGGGAGAGACCCTCAGTTTACCGCTTGTGCCTCTACATCAGAGGAGAGAGCAAGACGGAGAAGCCTGCCCGGTGCCCGCGTGCACACCCACGGGACACTAGAGCTGCTCTGGTTAGTAGCCATGGACCCTGCCGTGTGCCCAGCTGGGCCTAAGGTGAGGAAATCAGGGTTCTGAGCCCAGAGATGGACTTCCCGAGCCCTGGCCATACCTCATCGGGGTCAGCGAGCTTGAACTCCCATCCGTCCCCGGTCCAGCTGATGAACGGCTGGCAGGACTTGTCCGAGAGTAATTCCAGGAGGAACTGCCACAGCTGAATAGGTCCGCTTCCTGCGGGGGGAAGGGGCGGGTTACACGTTTTTACAGATTTACAGTTCGGCAAGGCTTTCGTCCTCCTAGTGACCTCGGCTGCCGGAGCCCTGTGAGACCCACCTCCGGACAGGGGACCAACATGACGACCCGGTTCAAGGGTGGTGACACTTCAACGGCACCAGGCTAGAGACCGAATAGGGCATCTTCCTCCCCGCCTCCCACTCCAGAAACAAGGGGTCACTGGGCCCTTAAGGATCGCCGAGTTTGGTCTTCTGGAAAAAAACTCAGGGCCACCGACTCTAGACATGAAAATTCCTCAGCTCGAGGGCGCCCAGCTGGCTCGGTCGGGGGAGCGTGCGACTCTTGCCCTCGGGGTTGTGAGTTCGAGCCCCATGGTGGGTGCAGAGATGCCTTAAAATCTTTTAAAAAAGATTCCTCATCCTGTTTAATTGTTCCTTATGTAATAAGTTTCAGGGTTTATTTCTAGAGCCACCCAGCAGGACAGGGGCGGGGGTGGCTGAAGGGGCGTTTCCCCACAGAATGAGGCACGCCATTCAAGGAATCCTACGCTGCACCTTCCTGACTTGAATGAGGGTGGGTAAATTGCTTAATCCAGGACTCAGTTTACTCAACAGTGAGTTGGGCATCTGGGGTTGTATCCATTGCTTCACCACCTCTGGTGAGGGATGCTTTGCTTTTCATATACCTTTCCTGGGTAATATTTAGAACCCCCACCTTGTGAAGAGGGTTATCACTGTATTTTATTTATTTTTTTAAAGTTTACTTATTTTGAGAGAGAGACAGACAGACTGAGTGGGGAAGGAGAAAGAGAATCTGCAGGCTCCGCACTGTCAGCACAGAGCCTGACACGGGGCTCGAACTCACGAACCGTGAGATCATGACCTGAGCCGAAACCGAGAGGTGGATGCTTAACCGACTGAGCCACCCAGGCGCCCTGTAACACTCTTTTATTTATTTATTTTTAATGTGTTTTGTTTTTTTTTTTAATTTATTTTTGAGAGTGAGAGCAAAAGCATGAGCGGGAGAGGGGCAGAGAGAGGGAGGGAGACACAGAATCCGAAGTAGGCTCCAGGCTCCGAGCTGTCAGCGCCGAGATCGACGCGGGGCTCAAACCCGCGAACCGTGACATCATGACCTGAGCCACAGTCAGAGGCTTAACCGACTGAGCCGCCCAGGCATCCCTGTAACATTGCTTTAAAGAGGAGGTGCGCTCAGATGCCAGGTGTCTTGCCCCGAATCACACACCCATCAAAGAGCTGTTCCTCAAGACCCCATGGCCATCATCAATAAGGCTAGAAAACACGAAGGGCAGGAGTTCTGGAAGCAGACACAACCAGGTTACCTATGTGCCCGGAAAGCTGTCTACTTCTGAGCCAACCGCCCCAACTGTAAAGCCGGTTACTGCCCTCACCTGCGCTGGGCTGTCCCAAGGATCGCCAACCCTATTCGCGCCTAGTTAGCCACAAAGAGCTGACAGTTGGCAAATGGTAACGAATCTTAAAATGAAGACCACCATGGCTGTTTATTTTCTCACCAAGCCCATTTCTGTGGACGTTTGGGACGACAAAAAAAAAAAAAAAAAAAAAAAAAAAGGATCCCTCTGTATTCTTACTTTAACCTGTGAGTTGTTTTTCCATAGGTATTTTTTTTTAATCCAGTGGCTCCATATGGTCAAAATATGAAAAAAAAAAAACCAAAAACACCCACACACATTTAAGGACCTATGAAGCAATGAAAAAAAAAAATCTTGGTAATTTTGCTCAAGCACTGGAAATATCTGCTTCCAGAAGCAGCCTTAATATTTATCCGTTGCCTAAAATAGCTCTCGCCCAAATCTTAAAAATAAGATGGATTTTAGAAACACGAAAAGGTAAACAGCCCCCGTGTTATTGCAGGCGGGCTCCTGTCCCTCCCCGGGCTGGCTGACGTTCTTTGGAATTCCTGGAGGGGGTGAGTCAGAGCTAAGGCCTCCGCAGGCCCCGTGCGTGCGCCCCAGCCGTCTCCCCTGCAGGCCGGCCCTGCACACCCCAGGTGAGGGAGCCGCCCCTGGAAGCGCATCCCCGCCACCGAGCTGGGTGTGCGAAATCCCTGCAACGTTGGCCGTTTTAGAAATCGGGGATGCGGCCTGCCCGATTCGGGATGACGGCCACGCAGGCAACGCGGGGTGTGAATACAATGTGCTCCAACCAGAAACACCCTGGATAAATAATGCGGCGCTGTGGCCGGGCGGGGCCCGGGGAGGTGACGGGGAGACCCGGGCGATGCGCTCACCTGTGAAGCCGGCCAGCACCGCCGCAGGTATGACTGGTTTGCCCTGCTCCACCGGGTCGCTCCGCTCCTGGATGTAGTCCTTGAAGGACATGGTCGGCTTGTTGAGGCACAGGGACTGGCTGCAGTCATCCTCGAAGCTCTCGAAGGAAGGCACTCGCTGCACGTCCAGCAGCGACGACTGGCTGTTCCAGGACTGCAGCAGCGAGTCCGAGCTCTCGAAGCTGTCCGTGCCGTTCTCGGGGGAGTCACGGTCCCGGGGCTTTCCTGGCAAAGACAACCGGGCACGGACGCTGACTCCTCGGGGCAGGGGACCGTCCGGTGTTACTGAGCCGCGAGGGACCTCAGGCTGGTCTGGGGCTTTGCAGCAGCATGGACACCAACCCCCCTGGGGACTGCTCACAAAGCTCCTCCACGAGGCACTCGGTCCTGATGACTAATGTGCCATACAACCTCAGCACCCAGCAGCAGCATGGCTGAACCAAGTGCAGCTCTGCAGGATGGAGTATTACACAGCAATGAAAAGGAAAACCGGGGGGCGCCTGTTAAGCCCCCAACTTCGGCTCAGATCATGATCTCCCAGTTCGTGGGTTTGAGCCCCACGTCGGGCTCTGTGCTGACAGCTCGGAGCCTGGAGCCCGCTTCGGATTCTGGGTCTCCCTCTCTCTCTGCCCCTCCCCCACTCACTCTTAAAACAAAAAAAAAGAAAGAAAAGGACAATTGTCTGCCACATCCAACCACATGCATGGGTCTCAGACACAATGAGGAACAAAAGGCACAAGAAAACAGAGCGCTAGGATTCCATTTATATCAAGTTCACGGGCAGGAAAATCTAATCTATGATGACAGCAGTCAAGACAATGGTTTCCTCTTGCTGTGTGGACGCTACCGATGGAAGGCACGTGATGGGGTCTTCTGGGAGGCTGGAAGCTTCTCTATCTCCATCTGGGTGGCTGTTACTTACTCAGGGGCATATATGTAAACAGTCAGCCGGCAGTACAAGCCGAGATTTGTGCGTTGTACGTGTGCGCCTCCATAAAAAGAAATCTGTCATATTCCTACGTTTTCTCCCACATGCAGGAATGTCACATTCCTACGTTTTCTCCCAAAATAGCCCACTGAGTGGAGGAATCCAGCTGCGAGAGCAGAGACCATGCCTTGTTTGCTCAATACCCGCGGTGCCCGGCTCAGAGCGTGAAACATAGCGGGAGTCGATGTTTGCGGAGACCATCTGTCCCCTGCAACAGTGCCCCACAGCACTTGGGACACAGAGGGGACCTGTGCCCTCCTCCAAAGGCTGAATCCAGGCCGAGCTGCGTGAGAAGCTCCCCTCACTGTGCAACTGTCTGAATCAAGCCTGGAGCCCTGACTTACCAGAACCGCCAGCGAGAAGGTTCAAGCTGCCGCCTGGGAAGTCCTGACTGACGGGGCAGTAACTGACGCTGACGGTGTTGAGTCGAGACTTGGGGAGCATCTGAAAGTCCTGCTCAGAACCGAGTGCGCTGGGTGCTGAGGATGATGGACACACGTCCAGGAGGCAGCCTTTGGGGTAATTCTGTGTCTGCACGCCATACGCTGCCTGCTCCACGCCAAAGCCTGGGACACAACGATCGGACGGCAGAGTTGTTAGGCAGGAGCGACGTGGTCATCAGAGACCCTCTGTGCCCTCGAACCGAACCAAACACAACCCGTTCTGCGCGCTCTCACCCTCCACGAAACCGTGGGGGGACGTGGACTTCGGCAACAGCTCTTCTGAAGCCAGGGAGCCCTTTTCCAAAATTCCCCGGACCGAGATGCGGTGCCTCGATGTTAGCATTTCTACGGCTCTGGTTTATCAAATGCTTTCATCCTGCCTCGGGATGGCAGAGGTCACTGGCTCTTTCAGTTTCTAAGGCTCGGAGGGAGTAAGTGATTTGCCACCCAGCGTGTGCCTTGCAAGGGAACATCCCCTCCCTCTGCTGGCTGGGGGGGGGGGGGGCGGGGGGGGGACCATCTGTAATCCACACTCATCAGTGTCAGTGACCAGAAGGGAAGACCCGAATTCCAGGACACTTCTTTGAACTCCAAAGTTCAGAGCAAATTTAGAATTGCCTTCTACATGCTTCCCGTGCCTGTCACCTCTTACTGATTGCACCAGCTCTGACTACAACTGTCAGCCCCCTTCGCTCTGCCCCTGGGCTCTACAGACTGCCTTAGACGGCACTGGCCAGGCAAAGATCATGCCAGGCACTCAGCCAACGTTAGATTTTCCAGTAGCCGCAACAGCAAACTGAAAATAAACAGGTGAAATTAATTTTAACCTTTTATCTGACTCAATAGTACCAATTATCGTTGCAGATGTGTATTATTTACCACACGTCTCAACGTGGACCAGCCATGCATCAAGAGCCACGTGTCGTCACCACATGGGGACAGTGCAGGCCAAGACTGTGCGCCAGGGAGTCCAAATTTATTTTTATTTTTATTTTTTTCGTGGGGGTGGAGAGTGCAAATTTAATAGAAAAGCTTGAAACCAAGGTCTTCAGGGCAAGAATCGATTGGACTGACCTAGTGAATTGCTATTAATCCAATGAGGAACGGAGTTGAGGTGTGAATTTTCTTCATACTGATCTTCTGTCTTTTCTTGGTTTTCTGAAAAACAGATACAGGAGGCATAGGATTGCAAATCAAGGTTAAAAACATTTATTCCCAAATTACTATCGTACGGTTATTTTAGAATATCGAAATGCGTTTACGCTTCACGTTTTTTAAAATTTTTTTAAAGATTTTTTTTTAATTTATTTTTGAGAGAGACAGAGAGTGTGAGCGGGGGAGGGGCAGAGAGAGAGGGGAACAGGATCTGATGGGGGCTCTGTGCTGACAGCAGATGGCCCAATGTGGGACTTGACCTGAGCCGTGAGATCATGACCTGAGCCGAAGTCGGACGCTCAGCCGACTGAGCCACCCAGGCGCCCCTGTGCTCCACATTTAATCAGACGGTAATCAGTGTCATTTGGTCTTTTTAAAAAACCGGAGATAGCAACACATTTTCTAATAACTAGAGTGAGTTCTCCACCATGAGCGCTGTCACTGGCCAAGCTAAACGTTCTACGGCATCATTTCAAATATCTAGACCGTGAATTTAATTCACCCCTGCCGTCAAGAGGTAGTTAGATATTTATGAAGTTCCATCTGTCCCAGGGGCTGGGAACTTTGAAAAGGAAAAGGTTATTAGCATTCCCTGTGTGTGCTTACTCCCTACAAACACACTGAACCACACACACCCACAAATCCAGGCCCACACACACTCACACCCTGAGTGATGGTCAGACAGGCCCAACCCGCCAGTGAGCAGATTCACCAGAAACTCGTCAAATCAGACTTGTCCAAGTTCAGGAAGGATTTGGGGGTCTTCACAAATAAGCTTCCTTGGCCCCCAGAGGCCACAGCCTAAAAGAAATGGTGGCTGAAACCTAAAGTCTTTCAAAGATCCTGGGTCTGTAAAAGGTGTTGAAACACAGGGTTTAAAATCAAGTGAATGAGGACTATTTCTCTGAACTCTACCAATGAACTGATTTTCTCATATTTATAACTTGATCCTTTCCTATAATTTTTTTTTTTTTTTAACTAGATGTGTTGTTAACATTGCTGCCAACACTCTTATAAGGTCTAAATCAAGACTTTCTGGGGGCGTCTGGGTGGCTCAGCCGGTTAAGCGTCCGACTTCGATTCGGATCATGATCTCACAGTTCACAAGTTCGAGCCCCACGTCGAGGTCTGTGCTGACAGCTCGGAGCCCGGAGCCTGCTTCGGATTCTGTGTGTCCCTGCCTCTCTGCCCCTCCCTTGCTCACGCTCTGCCTCTCTCTCTCTCAAAAATAAACATTAAAAAAAAAATTAAAGACTTTCTATCTGAGGAGAGTTCTTTTTATCCAATGGCCAGTTTCTGCAGAACATGTCAGCGTGTAAACATCTATCAATCACTTCTGCATTTGTTTAAATAGATAAAACCAGAGGAAATTCTTGTTGTTGCATTCCATTGGGTCTTAGGAAAACTTACTGTAAAATGCACGGAGTGTGTCTGAATAAAAGCTCCCTTTCGCTCAGGGCAACTTGCTCCTTCGGGTTCTCTAAGATGCACCCCAGCACCTGGGAGTTCTGTTGGCCTCCATATCTGAGCCAACACGCACTCCTCTGACACATGCCATCTGACCACGGTCAACGAGTTAGTGACTCAGGTCACTGCCTCGTGGCTATGCTCCATTCCACACACACACACACACTTCAGTGGATTAAAAACCCTCTAATCACGGCCACACATCTGACTCACTCCGGTGGCATTTTCAGGCCCTTTACGTAATTCGGAACCCCAACCATACGATTACAGAGCACCGCTCCCCCTTCCATCCCTCTTCCCTGCCACGGCTCTCCTCGGCGAGCAGGAGCCAGGCCCCACAGCGGGTACCTTTGATCATCTGCTCCAGATGCTCCCAGAGAATGTCGCCCACAAAGTCAGGTGCCAGCTCCAGAAAACGCTCCTTGCCCAGGTTGCATAACATGTGGCCATTCATGCCGAACCTCTGGAGATTGACGTTGACCAGGCTGAACTCGCTGGTGGCCCAGAGGAGCCATTGGCATACTTGCTGCTCGGTCCACAGCCAGGGGTCTGTCCGGGGGAGGGAAGGACAGACAGACACACACAGGGAGAAAACGGGAGGGAGGAAGTGAGGGCAGTGTCGTTCCTGATCTGCCGGCAAAGTCCGGATGTGTACCAGAGACCGGGCAGAGGGGAAAGACACCCAGTAAACTCTAAGACAGCAACAACGGTGCCGGACTGAGTGTTCGGCCGGTTGACGGGTCTGAAACCATCACTGGCTCGGGTTACGCACACCCCCGCCACCCTGCAAGCTGCCTGGGGAAGACCCAGCCGTCATCCCAAGCAATGACGGTCAGATTCGTTCTTCCAGTACAACCCAGACTCAGAGAAACTACTGGAAAAAGTGGCCCTTACTCTTCGGGATGCCAAGACGGTGCTGCTCCTTCTTGAAGCCGCTGAAGGTAGCTTTTAAGGCTTGACTCATCACGGCCTTGCTGCACGGCGTTAACAGAGGTAACTCACAGCTGGATGCATCTAGAAAGAAACCCCATGGGGACATGAGGACTGGAAGCTGGCACGACCACATACTGAATTCAGGGGAGAAATCTTGTTAAGTTTTCAGGAAAGAACAATTTTGATCTCAAACCTTGACGTAATTCCTTAAGAGAGTATAAATATTATCAAAAATTTGGGCAGGGAGGGGTAGAAATTCAGAAAATATCCTACATCTCACAGCTACACTTATGAAAATAAAGTGCAAGTTTTATTTTATTTTGCAAATTATTTTGCCATTATCCTTAGATGAAATGCCTATCTAAATCTCTTTTAAAATTTTTTTTTTTAATTTTTTTTTTTTTCAACGTTTATTTATTTTTGGGACAGAGAGAGACAGAGCATGAACGGGGGAGGGGCAGAGAGACAGGGAGACACAGAATCGGAAACAGGCTCCAGGCTCCGAGCCGTCAGCCCAGAGCCCGACGCGGGGCTCGAACTCCCGGACCGCGAGATCGTGACCTGGCTGAAGTCGGACGCTCAACCGACTGCGCCACCCAGGCACCCCTCTTTTAAAATTTTTAAACAATGAAAGACAGTAGGTGGTTTCAGTCAAAGGTTTTAAGGGACGGTAAATGTATAATCTACCATTTAAAAGAATTTTTTTTTAAATGTTTATTCATTTTTGAAGGAGACAGAGACAGAGCCCGACGTGGGGCTCGAACTCAGGAGCTGTGAGATTATGACCTGAGCCGAAGTGGGACGCTTAACCGACTGGGCCACCCAGGTGCCCCTGTAAATGTACAATCTGAAGTTACCTCCATTCAAATAAGCAGCAGGTAAAGGGCCTTCTGGTGTAATGTGAACACACAGCATTTAGCCCCGGTCACGTCAGCGCACCTGCAATTTTTATTGAAAACCAATTTTCTCCGGGTTCCCTCAGCAATTTCATGAATGATAAACGACCGCATGATGGTATACTTAGGCAGGCATCTGTGTTTTAATTAGTTTTCTGGGCTGTATTTTCCAGCACCTACTTCGTATGACAAAGTAATCTCTGGAATGTTTCCAACGAATAACCCTATCCCAGTAATTGTACAGGCATTATCTGACTGCTGTCCCTTTAAAAACGATAAGCCATGACATTAAGAACTACAGAAATAAATACATACGGGCGGGCAGATATTAGCAAGTGTCATTTGTTGCCCCAAGACTACGGGGTGGGGTGGATGATCTAACTAATGAGGAGACCCCAGACAGAGAAGCTGGGGTGCATTTTAATCATTGGCTTTGCAGGTGCGCCTGGGAGACCGGACCCAGGCTGGCTACAGTGTTGCAAACATTCCAGTGGAAATCTCAGGGGCTCCCCTACAGGTTGGTCCCAGCAGGGCATTTGCTCTGGCTGGGGGGCGCCTGGCAGCCGAAGACACCAGAGCCAGCACGTTCATAGTGAGAAAACTGTCTTCTCCCAGGTCCAGAGTCACCGACTTTGCATGCCAAAGACTGAAGACACCAACCGTGGCCGCTTGCAAATGGTCGCCTCTTTAGTAACCGAACTAGGCACACTTTGTCAAGTCTGAGTAACAAATTACCATGAGAAATTGAATCCAAGCCTGTGGGCACTTCCTGGAGTGTCTGCTCTTCATTTAGAGAGGGGAAAACCGCAAACAGGGACCCATCGAAGGTGTCCAAAGCTGGCTGGCGCTGGGAAACAGATGGAAAAGAAAACGGGAATTAATATTTCAACCCATTTAATCACCTGTTTTAAAAGTGGTCCATGGGTAATCGTCCCGACATAGCCTGACGAAACTGGCAATTATAAAGCCACCAATGGACCAGACCACCGAGCGCTCTCAGACCAGACTTACGAGACAGTCAAAGTGATGGGGAGGGTTCCATTTTACTCGGGATCATTTCACTGACCTCGCAGAGTCAGGATAACCCAGGAATTTATTTTTAATGGCTTAATAATTAACTTCAACGAAGAAACGAAGTAAACAAACCTAAAAATAATGGAACTTTGGAAGAACAGGACTGGACCAGACTAAGAGACCCACCTGGTCCAAACACCTGGTCCCTCCACTACATCAGAGGGAAATTCAGTCAGACTGGGCACAAAAGCAAAAACTACCCTCAGTCGGGCAGTTTTAGCTCATTGCCGTTAAAGGGAAGACGAATGACTGAGTGAAAACTGAGAAGCAAACAGTGAAATAAATTACTTTATTTATGGAAGCAGTTATCTTTATGTTTAACCACAAAACACTTTAATTGAAACTAGTTTTTTTTTTTTTTCACTCATCAACTCCAATGGTCCAGAAAATAGTAATGGATATGAAAAAAACACCTTAAGGTTTACTTTTATAAAAGTTAAGGGGTTGCAAAGACCTCTACCCCACATCATCTACTAAGGAGAAAGATTTCCAAAGGAAAAAGGTTTCAAGTTCAACTATCTATAGCTTAGGGGAAAAAGAGAATGGTGACACAGAGAAAGATAAACCCCACACTGTGTCGATCTAAGATAATTTCATCTAACAGTTATGAAAGTAGCCTTTAATGGAAGACTTGTTTATAAGTAACAGATAAAGTCTTGATTCATCACTGCCTGACTTGCTGAGTAACAATGTAAAAGATGGTTATGTTTTTCCAACATACACTGGAAATCCCGTGTTATGTGTAATACAATGAACCATCTGTTGAGTCATCAATTTAAAAAATGTGCAACACATTTACAAATAAAATCGGTTTGTGTGCTTTCTTTCTAGAAATGCGGAACAATGAATGACGCATTACGTAAGAGGGCAGGCAGAAGTTGGACCGCAGCCTAAAACACTCAACACAGCGATGTCCCAACGATATGGGAGCCCAGCCCCCCAAAACCCGAGACTCTAATGTCTGACTGCCAGAAACCTAAGGGAATAAACAATCAAGTAAGTTCGAAATCCTCATCTGGACTTATAAACTATACCACAGGACCAATTTCAGTGAAATAGCCAATTAATTATTATTATTATTTTTTTAATTCCCAGTAACATTTCCCCAGGTGACCAAGAAATGCCTTTCCTTTCCTGGCTGGAAGTTCTTTTTTTAAAGTCAGGAAGCCAAAAGACAATACAAATTCCCACTGAGTGTACCAACACATCAATGTCAGCAACGACGTTTCTTCTCCGAACCCAGAGATCACATGAGCATCATCAGGTTCTTTTAGCGTCTGGAAGAATTTTCCTCTCTAGGGGTGTGGTTTCAAACCTAACACCACGATTTCTTATACAGCCTCTGCCACGTGGAAAACATCTGACCAAATCAAACGAGCAAACTCACTGGCTGGAAGTTTCCTGACCTTCCTAATACGCAAGAAAAGCCTGGGCCCATTTTTGGCCGTCGGGGACTCTCCGGGACTAAATCACCTCCTAAGGATACACAAACGGTCATGCAACACGACGGAGCTCCGTCACCGTACGAAACACTAAGCTTGGTGGAGGCCAATCGAAAAATCCCTGCTTCTACAGGTGTTTACTGCGCGAGGCTAAAAAAACAATCAGGTCTCACTGTCATGTTTGAAGAAAGCAAACGGGAAATTATCAGTTTCTGCTCCTTCAGAATGTTCCCCAAAGGAACGAAGGCAGAAGCTGCCTGGAATTTGGCTCTTAGACACCGGAAAAGCCTCCTTCATCTTTCACCTGTGTTTTGGTTTACCTAGAGAGGCGTGCCATTCTGTGGCCGTGTGGCAGCAGGCTGCCAGCAGCCCGGTGGGCACAGACCCTTCGGAAGGAAGGACCCCCCCCTGCGGAGGCGGGCCTTCCTCCTCTCCGATCTTCCCTGGTCAGTTCTTTTTTTTTTTTTTTTTTTTAATTTTTTTTTTTAACGTTTATTTTTGAGACAGAGAGACACAGAGCATGAACAGGGGAAGGTCAGAGAGAGAGGGAGACACAGAATTTGAAACAGGCTCCAGGCTCTGAGCCGTCAGCACAGAGCCTGACGCGGGGCTCGAACTCACAGACCGCGAGATCACCACCTGAGCCGAAGTCGGCAGCTTAACCAACTGAGCCACGCAGGCGCCCCTTCCCTGGTCAGTTCTTAAACAACCCAGCCCATGACCCCAGGAAATGCACAGATGAACAGAACCGCAGTAGAGACAGCTTCTCCAGCGCTGTCCCACTGAGAATCCCAGGATTTTTCAGCTGGTAGGAGTCTCAGAAATAAACCACAAAGGCCTCGCCATCTGCAAATTAAATGGTTTCCTAGCGTGGAAGACAAGCAGAAACAAGCATCAGGATACCCATTTTAGAGACTAGAAAACTGAGGTCCAGAGAGACTAAGCAAACAATCCAGAGTCACACAGCCTGTATATTAAAAGGCCGGGGCTAAAGCCAGTCTTCTGGGACCCGGCGCATCGTTTTACGATCCTAGAGATTG